AAGCTGTTCTCTCATGCAGCGCTCTTTCTCGTCACGCAGCGGCACAGCAGGCCTCTCTCACAGCTGCAGGGTAAAGAGTAGACGTATCTGTAAGTTAACGTCTGTCAGCGCGCTTCAGGCATTGTGCAATTGTTGTGCGTCACGTGGCTCCTCACACGTCGTTATAGTGAAAGTGAAACAGAAACAGGTCGACTGGTGTTTTATAGGAAAAAGAGTGACTGCTATCAAAGTAATTGCACGTGGCTGTATGCGGGCAGCGGGTCAAGTTTCCTCAGGTTAATGTGCGAACATTTCTTCCAGTTGAATTCCCAGATATTCTCCTGTTCAGGGATTTTGTGCAAAGATTTTAAAGTAGAGTTTGAAAGTTGAGTTTGTGCAGGAGGGAATCTTTATAGGGTCTTGATTAGCAATGATGATGCTGGTGTTTATACGCTGATGAGCGTGTTGTCTTAAGAGTAGTTCCCCCCACTTGATATCAATTTAGATCAAAGTTTTGTCTAACTTGTTTTCTTCTTCTGCATTTGTCACGCTACACACATATTATGCCTCCTTCCAAGTCTGCATTCTATGAATGAAGAGGTCATACTGGTCTGACGAGGCTGCTGATTTCAAAGATAAAGATTTCCAAACAACAACAAAAAAAATAAAAGTATTTTGCCGAGATCTGGAGGACACAACTCTCCTATCTCAAAAGCCCTTATGTGCTGTTAAGCACTACATGAAAAGTCACACCAAGGGTACCAACTAGGGAAGCCCTAAGCGGCCATCAATTCAAACTCATCTCTGTTTCATACTCCGTTTTCGCGTGATAATGGGATAATTTTCTTGTGATCTTGAGATAACAAAACAGTGGTTTAACGGTAATTTCAGTGTGCATATCAGGATCACTGGTTAACTCAGTTGGTAGAGCATAGGACTAGGGCTGGACAATAAAACAATAACAATAATTATCAAAATATAATTTATTTCAACAACAATATAACAAATGTTCAATAAATATTGTTATTATAATGTTTGATTTATTATACACGAATTAGGACTTAAATTATCCTAAAGAAACACACCGTCCGACCCCTATATTCAACGACAGTTTGTTATCTTGAGGTCATGGTATAATTTTTCCGTTATCACGGGAAAACGGAATAAAAAAAATAGAGGACTTGTTGTATGTACAAAACTAGAATTGGTAAAAAATAGAGACATTTATTTTGTCTTTGTAAGGCTAAGGACAAGAAAGCATGACGATGCTAAAAGCCAATTTATACTTCTGCATTGAGTCTATGTGCCGTTGCTAACATTTATACTTGTGCGTTGGTACTCGGCAATTACACCACCAAAACACTAGTCGGCAGTAGGGTTGGAGCTGATATATGATGTTGGAGGAGATGGTATGTACGACCCTTGAACCGGTTGAGGCAGAAGATGAAGGACAAGTTGGAAATGCGTAGGAGTATGGCATAGGGTATGCGGCTATAGCATACCTACGGAGTAGATTTGATGCTTTGAATAATAGCCCGGGCTTTTATTTGCTAAAATCACTGAATTGACCCTGCCTGTATTTGGGACAGGCGTCCATATGGGACAGGCCTTTAATTCTTTTTGCACGAAACTAAAACTACTATGAAAAAGATTATTTCAAACAGAATAATACTTCATCAAATACACGTCATTCATTTGATCTAGCTCCCACAGACTGCTTATGGCTTTTATGTTGAAGGCAGCAACCTCACGAAAACAACAACACGGTGCAGGATGAGAGAAGTTAGCAGACAGAGAGTGACGGACTTCACACGACAGGATTCACAACTTGGATAAATTTTTCTGAAAAGCTGTTATGATTCTTTTGATGGGGGGACCCTTACAGACTAAAGGAAGATATTACATAATCAAGGAACGGACACATTCGGACTTAACGAGCACTTCAAAGTTAACGTGAGTCAGCACTTTTTTCCCCCTTTTCCTCTCTTGTAGCCATGCAGGTTACAACGGTAAATCTAGAAGAATTAGACTTTGGGTCTTGTTGTTTCCGTTAAATGAACTTAACAGTGGTATTGCGGAGAATCTAACCGATCTAACGATGTTCAGCATGTCCATATTGACATATTGATCACACGTTTAAACATTAATATTTGTATTAATGATTTAAGTAGCTTAGAAGCAGCTAAAGCGGGAGACCCAGCGAGGTTTTATACATCCAAAGAACTTCTATAAAAACCAGACCAGGCGTTTATTTGTCAAAATGTGTTCCCACACCAGGCCAGTAAAGGAGGTAGGCGGCTATTTGGGACTTGGCTATTAATTGAAGTTTTACGGTATGTACACATCAAAACAAATACCACTGTCAGCTCATCACTTCTGTTCCTATTGAAAGTAGTTAGCAGGTGCACGTGCATGATCTCCATGACACGTTTGATTGACAAAGAAAACAGTTCACAGTGTTCACATACTAAGGCAAATGAACAAAGAAAGGCAGGCCTATATGCAAGCAATGTTACAGAGCATTGCCAAACTAACAAGTACTAACTTTTCATTCCTAATAAGATCTAAGAATTAAAGCACATCTTTGAGCTCTATGCTCCGGTTTGTACACCAGAGAGAAAGACAAACACAGCACAACTTACTCCACTATGGCCTCTCGGTCTGCAATGTCTCCGAGCACCATACGCTGGATGATGCTGTTGTGTTCCTCCTCTGACAGGTTCTTGTGGGAGACCAGGGGAGTGTTGTACTTGGTGGCTGGGGAAGGGTCGACCCCCTGCAGCCAAGCATGGCTCTCAATCTCCTCCAAGGAAGCCCGCCGCTTGGGATCCCTCTGAAGCATACGGTCTATCAGACTGAAGCCATGAGGAGAACAAAGTGGAGGGAGAGGAAGAGAGAAAGAGAAAGAGCACAAGCTTAAATTAATGTAAGTCTAAAAGTCACAGGAATCCTGTTAAATGATTACACATTATTGGTTTTATTGATGCGAGTGTGACCAAGACACGTGGTCTATATCAGAACAACGGGACTTTTGGTTCTGCTTGATGCTGGTTACTTGGGCAGCTTGATTTATGATCCCTTTTTGGCCTGCTTTGGAGCGTAGAGAGCTTTACGCGGGTGTTATGGTCAAAGTGAGAGCAGATTACATGAGTGACTTGAGGAGAAATAGGTGCCGCTGGGTCCTAAAGACCCCATCTGCATGTTTGTGAAGTACTGTTACTAGCTGAATGCTTCCCAGGTGCTTGAAGGTCTCCACCTGCTGCACCACCTGCCCCTCCAGCCTGAGGGAACAGACCCATCAGGACCACGTCGTCAGAGCAATTGATGGGTGACTGGTGTGACTAAGATTGTCACACCACTCTTGCCCTACCAGTGTGGAATTGCTACTTCAGTTTATTTTTATGGTGTAGTCTGACCACTTCGGCCCTGTGTCTGATCTGAACTGTTTTGGCCTTTTAAAGGAGATGAACAGTAAGTAGGAGCACACAACTGAGATTTTCTATTTCTTTTAAAAGCATAAAGCACCAAATTCAAGAAGAAAAAAAAAAAAGTACCGGCCCTTAAAGACAGCCATTCACTATACAACGGTGACAATTTAAGACTGACGTGTCTACTGGGTAATTCCTTGATTGTTAATGCCTAAATTAGGTCTAAATGCTGCTGTGGAAATTACTTTTTTTTTAGGATTTAGGCCACAAGTTGTGCTGTTGCTGCTGGTGGAACACATGCAGCCCAATTAAAACTGTAACTGGCTCTGGACATCTGTGGTAAATACCCTGCTTGAATTGAAAAGATGAAACTATACAGCCCTGACAGTCATTTGCAAGAGGCTTGGAAAATCTGTCTCCCTGGGTGGACACGTTCTTTTTGTGGTGTAGCCAACATTTCAGCTGTCTGCTAAACCAGAACGTCTTGGAGTACAATCTAACCTGTTGGTATGTGGAGGAAGAGCAGATGGAGGCATTGAATATATGGTGTATAATGTGCAGTGCGGTGACAGACCGTGCCAGACATTTGCTTTGACAGATCTAAGGATGTGAAACTACAGCTGGTCAGCTGGCAGCTTCAATTCCACACAAATGACACTGTTGAAATTTAATAGGATTAGGTGGGATATGGAATCTAGTGAGAAGACTAAAATGAATACAGGAAAAAAGTTCCATGCATCCAGAAGTAAGCCATCTCCGTCATCTGCATAATAAGGCAGACAAATAAGACAGAAATCGAGGCTGTGCCTTTTGCACTTGACACAGACAAGATAGAAAAGAAAGATGAAAAAGATCTTCATGCGGAGATTTAACATCTACAAATCCATTTTGCCTGTCAAGGCCTTATACAGTAGGTGATGTTGCCACTGAACTACATGACCCATGATACTGTATGGTGACCACATATGAGACAAGGGGTCAGAAACCCCCCCCCACAAAAAGCCACATAAGGTCCGACAAAGGTCATAGCATAGCTTTCTTATGACATCTGCACACTAAGACACAACACACCTCCATATTCCCACATAAGACTGGGGCTGAGAAACCTGTAAAACCAAGTCATTTTGGCTTTACTGAATTCATTTGTCAAACTCTATCCAGTCCCTTAGTGTATTAGTGCTTATGTGAGAGCAATGCATGGGATGGTGGCTACAGGCCCACAGCCTGCTTAGAGTCAGTGCTCTGCTACCTGACAGCAGTATGTAGAGGTGTACTTTTGAATATGTAAGCGTGAAGACACAAGCCCTGAGACAAATTAACTGACTGATTATTTTGCTTATTAGACAGGCGGCAGAGTTCGAGTACAAAGATATTTTTCCTCCATTTTCTTTGGCTAGATGTTAAAAATGTACCCTAAAAAATACATAAACAACATATATTATGAAGTTAACATGTAATTTAATGCACAAAACGCTACAACAGAGTACACATGCACACAAAAAAATTACAAATGGCACAAATTCAGCTCTACAGGACAGAAAGTGTTTTTTTTACAGCCTCAAAGCAAAAAAAAAAGGAAATGGTCCCTCTGTCACTTCCCTGTTGGCAACAGCCTGTTTGGAACCAAAACACAGCAATCAGCCAACATCGTCGGCTGTACTGTTCAAAACTATATAACAATAGTCTATTTTTGAACTGCATTATGTCATTTTATCTTGGTGAGGTCTCATAAGTACACAAAACAAATGTATTCTTTGTTTATGTTATGTGTTTCTGAAAAAAAACAAAAATACCATAATTTTGGATTTTAATATCAAAATCAGCATCGGTCTTAAAAATCCCATATCAGTCGGGCTCTACTAAAATCCTATTCAAAAACACAAAGAGGTAAACTGTCGTACTAGGTGCTTTCTTTATAACAATGAATGAACATGATCGGTGCAGTTTAATCTGAAACTCCACAGCTGCAATGTTAATCTCAGAAGACAACCTCTGTGTCAGGCAGATGCCACTGAGCATGCGTGGGATGTGCTTCTAGTTTATACTGCTCAGAGGAAAAACTTTCACTGGTGGTGTTCACTGTAAAGAAACAGTAGGACTCTTTTTGTTTTTCTGAAGTAATGTCGGATGACTTAAGAAACTAAAAATCTGTTACACACAGGCTAATACATAAGCTCCATCAGACTGTAGATACATGAACAAAAATGTGAGCACTTTTGAGAAGGGCGACTCTGATTATCAGCCATATAAGTAAGTACATGTGTCAGTGGACACAGGAGACACATGCTCGGACTCGCAGTCCAGATTAATCTATATAGTCATAAAATCCTCAGAGACCGATGATGTGGCAGGCCAATAGCTTTTTAAAACATGTAAATAGTTAAACTACTTGCTGTCACAAGCTAAAGTCTGTATGTGCACCAGCACCTGTGCATCTCCATGGACTAACAAGCATCCATTTATAAGAACGCATGTTTTCATTTCACTGCAGACCGGGTCTGAATGCCAATATCAGAGCGCAGCTTATATGGACTGTATCAAGGCACTGGCTGTTATAGACGTTAATAACAATAATAATAATAATAATAATAATCAGGTCATCTGTCAATTTCTAGTCCTCCTATGAAGGGCAACAAATAATTAGCATCCCTGTAAAGTGCAAATCACATCCACCAAACACCTAGCACATGAATGACCTAAGCAGGTGCACACTTGAATAATGTGTTTGCACACATTCAATTAAAATTTATTTATATTTTATTTACATAGCTATTCTTCTTCAGCTCTCAGTATCTGTAGTACTCTAACAGTTGCTTCTCTACAAATGGCTGTCTTGTTCCATCCCCCTCTTTCTTATTCCCCTGGGACCTCTACAGAGAGAGGTTGTATAGTACTATAGCAGTCGCACAGGGCAGCCGCCTCTTATATTTTATTCCACTAAGTGTTATAAACACGTACTCATACTAGTGTATAACAGCATGTCAACACATTCTCAAAGAAACAAATAGCATCAAAACAGGCATGGATGTTTTCTGTACTGCTCGAGCTTCAAACAACGGAAATCAACAGGCAATGAATTGACTAAATCCCAGTTCTAATGCATCTCACTCCAGGTTGGCAAGCACAGAAAAGGAGGTTGAGTGTTTGTGTGTGTGCACTAATGACATGAAAGGACAGTGTTCTGATTGGTTCAAAAACAATCACCATCCACATGTGACGCTTTGAGAAACACAAGAGCTACAGTACATTTGTCTGTCTCTGTGTTGATGGGGGTAATTGTGGCCGTGGCATGGAGGGGTGGGTAGGTGGTGGGGGGTAGGTGGTGTCTAATATCTGGAAATTAAAATCAAGAATGACAAAAGCAAACAAGAGCTCGGGTGGAGGAGGGCGTGGGATCACAAAAGTGAGGCGCTGAATAATTAATTAATTGAGATGTGTAAATGCATTTTGGTGAGTCAACAGAAAGATAGAAGCCTCCGCCCCCACACAGCAACACATGAAGAGAAAAGGGAAGACTGTGTTGATGAAGTGACTCTGCACAAAAAGCAGCCAGACAATGGGACTTACTGGTAGACTGGAAAAGGCAAACTGACCTCATTACCGTCTTTTCTCCTTCCTTTGACAGAATATTAGCAAAGGTCAAATATGAGCCACTTAGCAAATTAACTGAATAGCTCAAGAACTCTGAAACAAAACAGTTTCATACCATGTATAGGAGCAGACCTAGTTTTCTATGATGCCACTAATAGCATTGGAAGTGCTTAAAAAACTGATCAAATTTGATGCCATACAGGTGTTTAACAGCAAAATGTCCCTCTCGTGAATATCCTAAACTGACCTTGTTGAGACCATATCAGTAATGGTGACACCATGGTAAAGTTACAGCTATGAAAAGTATTTGCCTAAGGATTCCTAAGTATTTTTACCATTAGTTTAAAGCAGCAGACATAATATATGTCTAATTATATATTGTTGACAAGGGTGAATGTGTGAGGTACATAAGTAAGTGCAACCACTGAACAAAATGTCACACCGTTGTCCCAATTTGCTAAGTCAGCAACTATTACAAAGTCGGAGGGGACTGGCTAATGAGGCTAACCTAAGGCAGACAGACAAGTCTACTGTAATTTGTTCCTCAACACATCATAGTCGTTCCTTGCTTTGAAAAAATGCACTGAGTCTGGATATATATATATCTATCCATCTATCTCCTGGTTCCCTGCAGTGTCTCCAATAACTGGTCAAACAGAGAGAAGAGAAGAAAGGGCAACAGAAAACTTTGATGGATTTGAACTTATTCAACTTCCCCATCATGCTCACTTTTGTTTTGGTCTTTCCTTCTCAAGTCTTTGTGTACTGTGCTTTTCTTTCCACTCTCCAGTACAAACTGTATCTCTCTCTTTGGATTTCTCTATGGAGATATACACACAATCTCTCTGTGTTTATGACTCCCACTCTCCAGCTCTGTTCTCTGTGTCTGTCTACCTTCATGTCTGTTTCACAGCACCCAAACATAAGGCAGCAGACAAGCTCTCCCAATTAGCCACAAGTCCCACAGAGCAGACGCTGCAGAAACAACATTTGTTTCTCCAGTGGCCACTATCCCCTATCTTGATTCAACATATTAACATTTAAAAAAGCCATTTATTTTTTTCTATACTGACCTGCCAACACATTCTAGCTCCACAATGACTGCCTATCCGCAAATTGAACTTCCTTGCTGAGCCAAAGTAAATGAGGATCTTGTGATTCCTATGGTACACATTTGTAGATTGCTCTTCTCCAGATTAGTTAGTTACTCTTCTCCACTTATCCTGGCTTCTTAAAATGGGGTACCACCCATGCTGTTCAGTATGTGATGTGTAATTGACCAAAATCTGTTCATGGAATGGTTAAAAACTTTTGGTGGTACATACGCATGTATAAATACACCTCCAACACATTTTTGAGGCCTGCAAATATTTCACGGTATTACTTTTGCTATTACAAAAAGACCCCTTAACCACTTGGCTGAAAATAAAGTTCATACCATATAATAGAAGATTTTATAAAAATAACTCTGAGGGATGTCAGAATAATACAGTTTATGCCACAAGAGATGAAAATGAAAGGTAGCCTGCAGATATTATCTTTATTTCTGCTCCGCAAATGTCAGCCAATAAATAACAAACATGACATAATTGCAGCATGGAAACCATCAAATATATGTTTTGAATAAAACTGAACATGAAAATGAATATTTCATAGTTTGTCCAATAGAGATAAGTGTATTCTTCAACTGAACTTAAATCTCTCCTCAGTGCATATCTTGATCATAATTGACATTTAAAACATTTAAATGAAAAATTTGTCAAAAATGTTTGTTTTTATGTGTTTATGTAAAAAAAAATAAAGTTTTTAGAGTGGCCCTATAATGTAAACACAACTGAAGTTTGTTTAAAAGAAAATTTTAATTAATCTTAATCTACAATCCATCACATCAAAAATGTCAGCTAGCAGACATCTACTCCTAAAAATGGAAAATAGCGCACCATTTGTGCCACTTCTGGCCGAGCTATCTCATTGCAATGACATATGACAACATGTCGACAAAGTATATTATGGGAGGGATGTTTTATCAATATCTGCTTTATATGTTTCTGAGCCCAAAACTTTCTTGCACAGAGAAACAGTTCTGTATGGAAGACATTTCCAGAATATGAAAAAACACAACGAAGGATCAGAATCTAGCTGGAAATCCAAAACTGTCACAATGAGTGGATAATTCACCAGTAAGTGACAAGGTAAAATATAAGCTTGGGACACAGCATGCGACAAATTGCTCTTGTGCTCTTGTGCTCTGAAGCTGCAGCCCATCAGATTGCTCACAGTTGCTTCAGCTTACCATTTCAATCTAGTCAGATCTCTCCTTCAACTCAGTAGTGATAAGCGTTTATTTCCTGTGTCTAAAAATGCTCTGATGTGCTGTGAAAGTTTAGAAATAAAGAATTGGCCTTGAGAACATGTTGAGCACAGTAGCTCTGATGCCATCAATCACGCCCCCATGAAACCCCCTCACAACCCTCTGCGTCATGTCAAAAATATTTGGGTGTTGAACTGTAATAACAATATTTCTGAAAAGTTTAGTTCCCCCCTCTGACACTCGTCTTATCTGGTACTCAGTAATATACAGGTTATGTATGATTTAAATAAGTTGTCTTTACCAGGGGTGTCAAAACCACAAATTAAATGTTGTGATACTCAAGACAAATTTAAGTTAAGTTGGATTATTATTCGACATTAACAGTGGACACAAAAGAGAGTCACTGTTCACTAACCTAAAGACGTGTCTGTGTGGGCAACAGATTGGGTCATGGTAAACAAAACTACACAATATTTTCTCGATTATTCCTGGCCATAATTTCTGGCAAATCTGCCCACTTACACTGCTTCAAAATGATCCCAGTGTATCGTGAGAGAATTAATTAGTACAAAATTAAGAGTGTGATTTTGCTAACACACATGGTTAATTATGCAACTGCTAATTTATTTGCCTAACTTCTTTTGAGTGGGGAACATGCGTTTTCGTGTGCAGTTGGGCTCTGCCAGCTAATGGAGCAAATTGGTCTGCAGGGCCTGGAATAAATCACTGTGGCTACTGCCATGTTCCAGTGCCTTCTCATGTACAATGCAGATCAGTGAAAGATTGTTTTTTTTACCACAGCAACATATTTATGATGCACTTAGTTATTACAAGTTATTATTTTCTTAAAAACTTTACTACCTTTATTGTGAGCATATTATTTTCTTTATTATGCACATTTCATTTAGCATTTATTAATACAGCGGACTATTTGGATTTAACATTATACAATATATGCCATTCAATTATACATTATATCACATTACAACCCACATTAATTTAACCTGCATATTAAGTGTGGCTGAGGTAGATGCATAATCACTGAAGTGCACTCTGACACAGTATTGCCTGTATCAGGTACAGCTGGGTCAAGCTTCAAAAGGGGGGAATTTTATTTAAATTACGTCGTTAAGCCAGAAAACTACAAATAACTGTGTTGAAAATAGAGTTTGTTTCTGCCCTGATTGAGACCTACCATTTGTGTATATCAGGTGAGTAAGTACATTAGCATTGAACTGTATGCTGATAAGTTTATTTTGTGAATTTTTGAAAAATAACGGTAATGTTTTACAACATATAAGCTGTAATAATGCCACCACAATGTGCATTTTTCCCTCTCCTTGTTTAGTCACAAGACACTCAAAACAACATTTTGCTCCTATTATGGCTCAATAGTCCACAGTACACATTTACAGACATGAGGTGGTGTGACTGACTGTGCTGAAGTTAAATTCATTAATAAGCTATTATTCAGTGTGAACTGAGTCAGTAATTAACAATGACTGAGAAAAGGTTGCTAATGGTAACATAATTACTGTACAGTGCTAATATTAAATTTTGCTCCTGCTGTGTGCAGGTGGCTTTTTTGTAGGTCTGAAAAGTTGTAACATGGTGAGTCATGGTCTCCATCCACCCAAAGAGCTGGGATTACCATGAATATCATGTTCTTTACTACAGTGAAGTGAAATAACTGTTGACTGATTGCATTGCAATATATCCTCTGTAATATAAAACAGACAGGGTGGCAGTATAGAAACCCTAGCACTATGCTGCCTAACTGTGATCAGGTCTCTGGTGCAAGCTACAGTAACTGCAGTATGGGTACAGGACAACAGGCCATGTCAGCTTAATGGGTTTGGCTATTCTCCAAACCACACACAGTATGTAACTACATAACTACAACCCAGACACAGACAGAGATGGAAAACTAGGATACACCAACTTATACACCGAGGGACATAGAGGTAAAGTAGCGATCAAACAGAGCACTCTTTTTGCAGTGAAAGGGGGGCTTTTCCAGTTTTCTATAGGCAGTAAGCACATTGCGCCCCGCTAATGCATCCTGGAGCCTCGCATTTTTGCAGGAGCGCTCTGAACGCCTAAACTCAAGAACAGAAAAACAGCAGTAATTGTTGGACGACAACAGCGGAGAACAAGCTAGTGGTGGCTGTTGCTGGATCCCTGGAGCTATATGATCTAACCAACATTCGTTACCATGATTTAAACAGAAAACAGCAAGACTGGAGGCAAATTAGTGCGGTACTGGAGACTTTTGGGTAAGTTGTTTTTATTCATTTAAACTGTACTAATAGTTAGCTGGTTGCATACAGTTCATAATTTGTGGTAAACTAACGTTAGCTCACTTTCATCAGAGAGTAGACAAGAGCAGTTCAGTGTTCCTGTTGTGTGAATGCTGTGTATGTATCACTCACTCTTTGCAGGCGCTGGAGACGTGGGCCGGTACAGTGTATTTACAGTCCATGATCATGGTGAGGGTCTCGCTGTCGTTAGCCTCCTGGAAGGGTGGCTGGCCACATACCAACATGAACAGGATCACACCGAGACTCCAGATATCTGAAGCAGAAGGAACCAAACAGCAACACAATGTGAATCCACGTGTACGGCCAGGCAAATACGATTTCTATACGAGATTTCTATTCAGTCGGAATGAAGAAATCACACGCTGTGCTAGGTACAAACAATATAATGTGAGCTACAATGTCCTTTTCTCAAACAAGGAAAACACTGTCATGATAATATAGATTATCATTTAATACAGTTAAATTCTATAAATGCAGATATAGCTCAGGTCTGCCTCTTCTCCCACACTCAATTTTCTTAAATTATATTTTGTGAAATTATATAGTAATTAAAGCCCAGTCTGACGACACCCTTAGGCATCTACTAAAAAAGCCACAAACATTTTAATGTGCTCAAAAGTTGATGTATGAAACATTACAAAACCTTTTGTAGCAAGTAAAATACTCTTCTGTCTAAATAAGGACTCTTATACTTTGGGCTGTAGATCATATTATCTATTTAAATATAATCTCCAAGGCAACGATTGATGCTACAGACAAGTTACAGCCCACTGACAGCTGTTCCTGCCGATTGACGTCACTTCAGATGATGTCTTTGCTCTTAGGTCTTCCTTCTGTCCTAAGAAAGGTTGACTACGATGGAAATCGTGCCATTGAATGGAAACAAGGAGCCATATAAGGGAAGTGGTGTGTAGTCAGAGAGCCTGGTAAACAACAGGGATGTTGGGAAGTGTTGGGGGAATGTCAGTACAGTAAATGTCAGTTCTTTCTGGTCTTCTTTTCTCCCCATCTTTTTTCTCCCACGGCATTTTAACACACGGCGTGTGTGTACTGACAGTACAATGAATGTCAAGTTACATGTGTGTACCTATGCTTATTCAAGGGTGCATATCTGTGCTTGCTAGTTGCACCCTGAGAAAGCAAAATGTCAACATGCAGAAGCACTGGGCCATACAGACTTTATGCAACCAAAAACACATGTATACACACACACACACACACACACCATTAGTGTGACAACAGCCTCTAACAAGGAACTAGGGCAGTAAACACCTTCATGTCACTACTTATAGTATGCAGTGTCCATACAAGGATAGTAAGTGATTTTAATCCAACACACTTTTTGTTAAATTCAGCGAATATTTCCTATGTTTTGTGAGTGCTCTGGAAAAAAAGCACAGTTTTCCTACACAGCCCTGGCTCTGTAAATGGAACACAAAGAAAGTGGTGCGGACCTTCCCGATAACATTGTTCCAGTCAATCACCAGCAGGTGGTGTCAGTGCTCATGCACAGGAGCAGTGGAAGAAAGAGTTCTATACACCGACACATTTGAACATGCAGGATTCATTCATTCCATTATGATGTTATTATATTATCATTATATAAATGGCATTAAATGGCACCACATTATATTTTTTATCACAATTATTTCACAAACATTTCAACATTAGTAGTTATTGTGACATGCCTAGTTTTGGATGCCATGTTTGTGTGTTTGCTAGCCATTTGATTGATGATGATTGTTTATTATTCGTTACTGCTGAAGTTACATCGTACAATACATAAACTAGACTCCATGTTATAGACTTTGGCTTAGAAAAGTTTTGCTTCAATACATATTTAAAGGCTTGTCAAACTTTCTACAGAACTGGGAAAAAAATATGGATAATTTGCTCTCGGCCAGCGACTGTGGATTCTGCCATATTTTAGCCAAGATACAGGTAGTACTGGTCACCTTGGCAATGCGCGTCCATTAATTTTAGAGGCGGTGATTCTGAGGGTGTATTTTTTTGGCAGTTGGCAATGTTTCTGCAGAATCACTTACCATGCCTTTAACTCTCTCTCCTACACGGGCAGATATTAAAGCAAGTTCATTAAACACATATCTGAGTATAACTACTAAATAAGCAGCACAGATCCATGCCATAAAATACCCATATAAATCACACACAAACATTAGTTTGAACAACATTTCTATCTCAAATCGCCTGTTTAGCAGAGAAACAGAGCCAATTCACTCATGCTGGGAGAATAAAAAAAGACATCACAGCAGCTCCAGTCAAATATTGGCAGCTCTGAAGTAATTACCGTGATGAGGATTTTAAGTAACTTTTTAATTAAGCTCAAATGCGCAGATGCCCTAAATACTTAATGGGCTGGCAGAATAGAGCCTTGATGATGCACAAGAAGAAATGCCAGATACTAAAAAGTCCAACTCTGAAAATTTCTTTTTGTCCGAAAAGCATGATAAAGACTTTAAAAGAGATTTTAAAATGCTTTGAGCCGCAGGCTGAGCCTGGAGTTAGCTATCTGATGCATTCTTAACTGGGACAGCCCTATCTTTAGACCCAAATTTGCTAGGTTAGTATCAGCAATGCAGGACTTATCCTTAGGCTAAGCAGTGGATGAGCACTGGAGCTCATGATTTGAAGAGCACTGATTTGAGGGAAATGCTCAGTTGATTGAAGTAAATGTAATTAGTATTGGTTTGGATTTTAATACCATCCATAAAATTCTACCTCAAGAAACACCTGTGCTCCTCCAACATGGCTGACCAACGCTGTTCTAGTAATGTCTATGGGGCTATCCTTTGCTCTGCTCCAGCTCTGAGGGGCTCTCTCCTCCTGTCTGTCCCAGCCACCAGGGTCAAGGTCTCTGCTACATCAAGCATGGCACAGTATGGGAGAGGAGTGCCCCCGAGGCATGTTTTTATGCCAACTCCATTTACCCATGTTCACTCAGTACTGAAATAACAATGCAATATAAACACTGGACACAACATGCATAAGGAAGCAGCTGTGGCAGACAGTGGTCCAATCTAATGTGAGCAAAACACAGGCTATGTCGCAGTTAAATAACAATACATTTTATTTATAGAGCGCTTTTCAGGGGACTCAAAGACACTACTAAAAAGGAGTTTAGAGGATAATTCCTGTTTTCTGTCTGACTTCCAGATGGTATTTGTTCCGGGACTAGACAAAAGTGAAAGACATTAGTAACACAGGACCACTGCTTAAGCTTAACTAACGGGGTGTTACAGGGACACCAGAAGCAGATGATTTAGTCCAAAATGAAACATGCATCAGTGCGGTCACCATGTTCCTAACCCCTTTATAAAGCACCTGTGATGGTTTGATTTGGCCCATGTTTGTGTAATGACTATTAGTCAACCGGGCCAAGCCTTCCATTTTAAGCATATTAATGGACCAAAAAGCTGCTTGAATGCAAGATGATAAAACAACTGGTGTACAGCTGGCACACATTTCCACATCTGCAATATTTCGGAAATCTAAAACGACCCTCCTCCAGCCTGTACCGATGCCTCATCTCCTGCTGAAATATGAAGTAGAGTTTGGTTTGCTCAGCATGACATCAAAGTAGCATCTCGCTGCTCAGTGTACCAATTACGGTTCTGCAATGTGTTGACAAACACGGGCTCAGGCTCTGCCTCTGTTCTCACACCGAGAGAGGCTGTGCCTAAGTGTGCATGGCATGTGTGTGTTTCAGCTAGGACATATTACTACTAGCATATTCCACTTGCAATCTCATAAACGATGGACGTTGTTCTGTCTGGAGCGCTAGGTGCTGACTGGCTCTCAGAGGACTGCTTTTAAACTGGCCCTCAGGTTTAAAGGTGATCTCTTTAATCTGCTCACAGTGAGAGCTTTGCTTAGCCCTGCATGTTGTACTCCCTCCAACAGGTTGGCACTCCACAGTGCCCATATATCATTGTTTAGATCCATGAGTGTATGAGATACACCAGAAACTCTTTTGTGTGATGGTTTGATTATCCTGCAGCACAGGAGAACGGATTTTGATCAGTTTTCTTATAACCAATACCAATCAATTAAAAAATGTGCCCAGATCAATGATATCAACTTTGGACATCTCTAGTCAATACTGTCCAAAGCTGATATTATTTAAGAATTAAATTTTTTTATATATCCACAGATGTTAATCAAGCTATACTTTGACACACCCACAACTCATCTGTCTTCCACCTGGCATGTGAAACTACAGCTGGCAATATGGCAAAAATCAATGGATCTTGTGTGTCTTTCAGACAAACTCATTCAGGGCTGCCAGTATTTAAATTAAATCATTACTTTATCTTCACGGGGCCCTCTGTCCAAATGCCCTTACAGTATGCCAACATGTCAACCCTGGCCTGAAATCCAAGCAGTGGAAAGGTGCTATGAGACTGATCTGAGGGACAGGTTGATATGCTAAGAAATAAAAGGCCCTACATGACATGACCTGTTGAGTGGTCTGGAAGAGTGCTGTAACCAACAGACTTGTCTGAAAGCCAAATATTTGCCTAATGAGCCTTTAATTTAATTTAGTTTAAGTTTAATTAAGCAAACTCTGAAAGATGTGGTTCTCACGACATGTTATTTGTTGTTGCTAGGCTGTTAATGATACATTTATTTTTCCTTTCTCTAAACGTTTCTGGTTTTCCAACTTCAGACTGCATATTTCATTAAGTGTGAATATAAATGTCATGAACTGTTAAAAGTTTCACATCTCTGCTGAGATATAAAGCGCAGCTGTCTACTTTCCACCTTTCTTTTGTTACTGGGCACAAGACGCCTGGCAGTCTGGCTATGCCTAACTCCAGCAAGGACAACACAAAAGAAATCAATACCTAAAAAGGGTCTATCATGGCAGAGCAATTTAATGCTCCTGTATACTTTGGACTTTATTACAATCCTCCTCTTTGGGAGGTCTTGCTGCCTCCTCACAATGTTCAGACCTCCAACTGTCATAATCACTGATAACCAGCACAGCAGCAAATACACTTTTGCTTTCACCTTACACTAAGTTTAGGTGCAACACAGAAAAGGGACAATTTCAGTCTCAAAAAAGACTTCTTCATTCATTTCAATGAGAACACTGCATTGTAGCAGCAGGTGGTTCTGTCACAGAGGAGATAACACAGGGTCAGAAGAGTTGGTTCTAGCTCCCCCTGTTCTACGGAGCATTATAAACTGTACGTCTACATACATGTAAGGACACACAGCAGGCCCAATACC